TTGGAGTGAACAAAGTATGAATCTAGGAAAATTAGAAATTGTAAAAAATGAAATGCATAAACATCAATATCCTAGGCATTAGTGAGCTGAAATGGACTGGTATTGGCTTCTTTGAATCTGACAATCATAAGGTTTACTCTGCTGGGAATGACAAATTGAAGAGCAATGGCATCTCATTCATCGTCAAAAAGAACATATCAAGATCTATCTAAAAATACAAAGCTGTTTGTGATAGTATGATATCCATATGCCTACCATGAAGACCAGTTAACAATTATTTTTCAAATTTACACACCAAACACTAAAGCAAGTGATGATGAAACTGAATAATTCTATCAACTTTTTCAATCTGAAATTGATCAAACATGCAATCAAGATGTATTGATAATTACTGGCAACTGGAATGCAAAGGTGGAAACAAAGAGGAAGGATCAGTAGTTGGAAAATATGGTGTTGGTGATCGAAACAATGCTTGAGATTGCTTAATAGAATTTTGGAAGACCAATGACTTCTTCATTGCAAAGATCTTTTTTAAACAACATAAAACAACAATATACACGGATCTCGCCAGATGGAAAATAGAGAAATCACACTGACTACATCTGTGGAACGAGTTAGTGGAAAAACAAGGCCACTCAAAACAAGGCCAGGGGCAGACTGTGGAACAGACTATCAATTGCTCATATGCAAATTCAGACTAAAGCTGATAAAATTAAAACAAGTTCACAAAAGCCAAAATATGACCTTGAATACATCCACCTGAATTTAGAGATCATGTGAGGAATATATGTGATGCATTCTACACTAAAGACCTAAGACCAGAAGAGTTATGGGATGACATCAAGAACATCATACAAGAAGGAAGCAAAAGCTCATTAAGAAAACAAGAAAAAGAAAAGACCAAAATGGATATCAGAAGAGACTCTGAAACTTGCTCTTCAGAGTAGAGATGCTAAAGCAAATAGAAGAAGTGAGGAAGTAAAATAGTTGAACAGAAAATTTCAAAGGTCAGCTCAGGAAGACAAAAGAAATCTTAAAAAACCTGGAGTAAGAAAACCAAAAGGGAAGAAAAGGCTCAGCATTTCTCAAGCTGAGAGAACTGATGAAAAATTCAAGCCTCGACTGAAGGATTATTTGGGCAAAATATTGGATGATGCAGAAAGCATCTAAAGAAGATGGAAAGAATACACAGAGTCACTGCACCAAAAAGAAATGGTCGGGGGGAAAAAAAAAAGGTCAATGTTCAACCTTTTCAAGAGGTAACATATGATCAAGAGCCAAAGATCCTGAAGGAAGACCAAGGTGCATTTAAAGCATTGGCAAAGAACAAAGCATCGCGAAAAGATGAAATACAAATTGAAATCTTTCAACAAACTGATGCAGCACTGGAGACACTCACTCATCAATGCCAAGAAACTTTGAAGACAACTACCTGGTCAACTCAAGTCCTGGTGTGGAGGTATGGGTTAACGCGTCCGACTGCAAAATCGTTTTGAATCGTGAGGTCAGTGGTTAAGCTCACCAGCTACTCCTTGGAAACCCTATACAGGGTCGCTATGGGTTGGAACTAACTTGACGGCACTTAACAACAACAACAACCTGGTCAACTGACTGGAAAAGATCCGTATTTGTGCCCATTCCAAAGAGAGGTGACACAACGAAATGCAGAAAATATTGGACATCACTGATACCCCATGGGAGTAAAGTTTTACTAAAGATAATACAAAAATGGTTGCAACCATACATTGAAAGAGAACTTAACCAAAGGTTCAAGCTGGATTCTGTGGAGGAGGTATAACAAGGGATATCAATGCTGACATCAGATGGATCTTGGCTGAAAGCAAAGAATACCAGCAAGATATTTACCTGTGCTTTATTGACTACTCAAAGGCTTTCAATTGTATGGATCATGATTAAGGCTTTCAACTGTGTGGATCACTGTTTCACTTATTGCCCCACTAATACATTAACAGTATATGTTGTTAAGTGCCCTAGAGTTGGTTACGACTCATAGCAACCCTATATGGGGTTTCCAAGGATCGGCTGGTGAGTTTGAACTGGCAACCTTACTGTTCAAACTGTTCTTGTGTGGAGTTCTTAACTGATCAGTGACCTGCTAAGTTTTTGTAGGGTAATCGTTTCTAATATATATTAAACGGCTTGCTGCTTTCCTTTCTGAAAAAAAATCAAGCATATTTTAAAAACATTTTTTCCATTAATTTTTAAAGATTTCTATCTATACTGAGTCCTGGTGTGGTGCTGCAGGATCATAGGTCAGTTTGAACCACAAGGTCAAAACTCCTCTGGAACCCTATAGAGCGTCAATTTGGGTATGAACTGATTCAAGAACACTTAACAAGTGAGATCATTATAAATGTTAGGCAAAACTTATGGCAGGTTAGTGCTTATTTACCTTTAAAAAATTAATGCCTTACACCATCTGCTCGTCAGAAACTCAATAAAAGGTAGCAATGAGTTGAGCTGACTCCAATGCACTTAACAAGGATCCTGTCCTGGTGACCTAGTTGGGTAAGTGTTGGGCTGCTAACCTGCAAGGTCAGAGTGGATCCAATTTACCAATCTCTACTAGAGCTCTCTCCAAGATTTACAGCCTAGGAAACCCTATGGAGGAGTTCTACTCTATCTCATAGGGTTGGCTATGAGTAGGAATCAACAGGATAGAACTGGATTTGGTTTCTGGTTTAACTACCTTTTGCCTGAAGGATACAATAGCAAAATCACCCTCATATGGAGTCCTGGTGTGGCGCTGTGGGTTAATGTGCTGGACTGCAAGGTCGGGTTCAACAGCCAGGTTGGAGGTTCAAGCTCACCAGCCGCTCCTCAGAAACCCGATCGCTATGGTCGGTACCGACTCGATGACACTTAAAGGAGTCCTGGTGTGGCACCATAGGAAGAACACTCCATCTGTCGGTCGGTTTGAACTGCAGAGTCGGTGGGTCAAACTCACCAGGCGCTAGTAGGGCATCTTATACAGGGTCGCTATGAGTGGGAACCAATTCGACGACACACAACAGCAACATACTGTACAGGGACAGATGAAAACAGGCTAATCCTATCCTTTTATTTCTCCCATTATATATCCCATTAAGCATTGAGTTTTTTCTAACCCCAAGCGCCACCTGTTTTCTTGCTTAGGTCTCACCACCTTCTGAAAGTGATACTCAGTTCCTGAATTGTCCAGTAATTGAAACATCACAACCGGAAGAAAAATGAGTATTAAGGCAATTAAGCTCATTTCCCCCCCAACTAAACCTTGGAGTCCTGGTGTGGCGCTGTTCGATAAGAACTCAACCAAAAGGTAGGTCGTTCAAACTCACCAGCCGCTCCTCTGAAACCTTATACAGGGTCACTATGAGTTGGAACCGACTAGATGGCACTTAACAACTCAACTTTAGACTCCTGGTGCAGCACTGGACTGTGAACCACAAAGTATGCAGTTGAAACCCACCAGGTGCTCCTCGGAAACTCTTTACAGGGTCACTATGAATCGGAATCGACTTGATGGCACTTAGCAGCAACAACTAAACACTGGAGGATGGTGGCAATCTCCACCTTCCCCATCCTCCGTCCTAATCGATTCAGTCGAGCATAACTCTGGAAACTGATCCATGGGCCTACTCAGTACATAACCTCTATAGTCAGAAACATTAGATTTCAACACGCGGGAGAGCTGATCAGGGGTTGACCAGGTTCTCTTTAAAACTACTGTTCCTATTACGAAGGGCGCCTCCGCCCACTGGTTAACCAGCAAGGTAGACGGACTAATAATTTTGTTAACCTGCTGCACCTGAAACCTCAAAAGCCCTGGTCTATCTTGACTAAAGCTATGTCTGTGGTACCTCCCATCGCACATTCCTGATTGGGCGCGTGAGAGAGGGATGTGTCAGCACGCGCTCTGACCAGTCCGGGGAATTCCATTTCCTCTCCCTCCCACCAGCACAAGCATTCAAAGGCGGTGCTTCTCTTCTAGTGGCCCGCCCCAGCTCGAGCCGGTGCCCCACTGATTCTCGCGAGAATTTGCGGTTTGGGGGGCGGGCTCCCGTCAGGAAGAGCACACAAAACTGGCCATAAGTCTTTGCAGAGCTACAGCTCCTGGTAGCAGCCACGAGGTTCTCGCGAGATCCACCTCCTCAATACCAAGTGAGGAAACTGGGGGACGCTGCTGGGAGGGGCATGGGAATCGACCGCGCAGCTGCCGCTTCCATTACCTTCCTCTCGTGGTGTCCTTCCGGTTCTCGATGCTTCTCTTAGTTTAAGGGTTTCCGCCGCTCGTTTGCCCTCCCCCCAGTTTATGACCCGCCTCCGGCCCCCGCCCTCCCAGTCCAACCTTCGATCCGTTTAGTAAGAAGGTGCTGTTCGGAAAAGGAGCAGAAAAAGGGAGCGGCACAGACACACACAACCCTGGACGTGGGAAGTAAACCGTCCCCCTTCACCCTTAGATTCGTCCCGTGCTCGCGACGGCGGCGTTGGCGGACTGATACACGGCGGTGAAGAGGCAGGAGGAGGGGGGAGGGGCGGAGCGTGGCAGCTGGCAGTAGTTCCGTCAGAGCGGACATCTTGTGGCTGTGTCGTGCGCGTGAGCCCCGTAGGGCCGGGGAGGCACCAGCTGCCGCGCGGGAGGAGGCCGAGGCCGCAGCTTGAGGGAGGCCCCGGCCCCTCTGTACGCGTGGGTGTTGACGGCTGGGGGAAGGGAAGGGAGGCCGGCCCACTGGCCGACTGGTGAGGGGAAATACGGGCCCTGGGTGGGTTCAGTTGACCACCAGCCTGGGGTAGGGTGAGGTGGAAAGGCTGGCGAAGTGGGGAGTCTGTCCTGTTTCTGGGGAAAAGGGAATGGGCGCGTCCTCGCGCTTAAGCTGGAGCCTAAGGGACAGTGCGGGCGCGTGGTGGCGGTGGCTGGGCGGGAGCGCGCCGGCGCGCGCTGGAAGGCGGAGTGTACGGTGGCGTCAGGGGCGACAGAATAGGCTAGCTGCGGGGACAGCAACACATACCAAGCCTCTCCCTTTATTTCCTTCCCCTCCCCGACCGCACCTTTGAGCAGAAAGCGAAAGAAGTCCGGCGTCCGTCCGGAGTCTCTTGTTTCCCCCTCCCCCTTGCCTTTCTCTGCCTTAGTGACGCCGGCGTAGCGCCGACTAGGCCCCGGCTCCTCCTCTGCTGGGCTCCGGACCCTGCCCCGCACCCACCCCTTTCTCCTACGCCTCTTCCTCTCCCACCTGGGTCTCATCCTCTCGAGAGGCCGGGAAGTCAGACTTGTAGCCACCCCTCCGCTTTTCCCATCACGCTCACCCCCACTTCGGGCCGCAGCACGGCATAGAGTCTGTAGGGTGGCTTTGCCACCCCACCCACCCCGGATCGCGACCGTTTTAAGTGACTTGGATTCATCAGGGTCTCTCCAAGGCCCCGTGAGAGTGCTGATCTGCTCCGTTTTTGCAAAAGGCGCCTGTGTCTGGCAGAGCCGGTGTGAGACGAAGAGACCATCTTTCCCTGCCGCCCGGGTAATCTAGAGTTTGGCCGGACCTTGGAGCGCACCCCGAGATATAGTGCGGAGCCAGACGAAAAGCACAGACTATGGCGCTGAAACGGATTAATAAGGTAAGCAAGCAAACCTGAGGGCGGAAAGGAGGAACGGGTTACGGGAGACCAGGAAGGCCCCGGCCCGGCAGAAAGCGTGGGAGTGGAGGAGGAGGATTCTGAAAATACCGATCTTTGGGGCACTTCCTTAGGGCCATGGGAAAGGGAAGAGGCTCGAAGAAAATGCGCTTGAAAGCGAGGGCACAGAGCACTTGGGGCCAGTGTGTGCCAGTGTGACCGGTGGAAATTGGGGGGGAAGGGTCGTGAAGCTGCTATTTCAGGCGCCTCGATTTTCTGCGGCCGGTAGAGGAGTTGTTTGGGCATCAGAACTGCCGAGAGACGCTGGCAGATGTCACGGTGCTTCCTATTCTTGTGCTGACGAATTTCTAGTTGTAAAATCTAGGTGTTGAAGGTCTTTTGGGCGAATGAGCCTAGAAATCAGACGGGTCTCGAACTTTCCTGGGGGCCAGGGCCGGGGCCAGGATGGATGTCTTGCCAGAAACTCTGGGTTGAGTCTAGGCCGGGTTACGCGGTGGGTTGGGAGGCGGGGGCTGATACAGTGTTGCTGCGGCCTCGGCTTCCTAGTTGCGGGTTGCACCGGAAGGCCCAGACCCGGGGCTCCCCGGGAACTGATGGGAAAGCCTCGGACGCTCCCTTTTCCTTGGGCTTGGGAAGGGGTGGTTGGGGGTAGGATGGCGGCGAGGGACGGCTAGGGCTATCTATTTTTTGCTCGGCCTATTTCATAACAACCTCGGGTAAGCTGGGTTTTCACTTAATACGTGGTTTGGTAACAAATTATCGATCTAAGTTGGAAAGAAACTAGGGTTTTTTGAGGCTGGGGGTGAGCGGAACCTCTGCCTCGGGTGGTTTAGTCTCATTTTCTTTGCTCTTAACTTCTATCCCGCATTTTAAGATGGCGGCTGCTTTAACTGGTTCAGGCTCTTTCCGGCATATCCTTTCGTAATAATAAGAAATAATATTCTTTGTTAAATGTTAGCTTTTACACCGGGTTGTACAGTGCTGTAGAGCCCTTCACGCCCCCCGCCCCCACCCCGCTCGAGATTTAACTAAATTCAAACTCTGAGACAGTGTTTCCCTTTTTTTTGTAACTTGTGTACGTGTGGTGTGTTTGGTTCTTGCACAATCGAAGAGGGTGGAGTATTTACAGCTAACTTGAAAAAAATGTCATGGAATAAATTCTGTCTTCCTCAAAAACTGGGAGGCAGGGGATGTTGTAGGTTAGAAACTTTGGTTTTGGTAAGTTACTTTCAGAGTTACACCTTGAAGGGAATGGCAAGGACTTGATAATACTAAAATGGGCCTGATACGGCTTAATTTTCATTAAGTAAGTGTGACTTTGGAGTTTCTTGACAAAATTTGGGTTGTATGAAAGATGACACTAGATCTTTACTGTGAACACATTGATGCAGAACTCTTGATTTTTGTTTTAGACCAGCATTGCATTGTCCTTGCGAGTTTATGTGAAATATGAACTTTTGTATTTATGAGATGAAAAAAGAGAAAAAAAACTTTTAAAACCTTAAAGTTACAAAGGATTGTTTAAACATCCTTTCATGTGAGCACTTCTGTTGATAAAGGCTAAGTTTAGAAGGCCACCAACACACTTACAAACATTGCTGTCGCATTTTGTGGCTTAATACAAAGATCATAACATTCAGATAAGTCAAAATCTATGGATTTAGTTAAGCCCACCAAGCACCAAGATGTATAATAATTTCAAATCCATAGCCTTCATATGGAGCAGAACACCTTAGAGGAAGGTCTTTTTTTTTTTCTTTTCTTTTTTACACAGGTGCTAAGCAGCTGCTGTGACAGTTTTAATGATTTCAACATATAATGTGTTAAGACTGAACATGGAGCAGAAATACTTGTTAGAATTCTAACTTCAATTTTTCTGTAAAGTGGCTATTTGTTACATGTAACAATAAGTAGTTGAATCCCCATTCTGTGCCAGGCACTGCTTAAGATACAACAGTAAACAAAACAAATTTTAAATCCTTAGATTTTGTTTGGATTAAATTGAGTTAATGTAGCTTTGAACAGGCCCCTGGTACTTAGTTATTCCTGTTCTTTTTTTTTTTTTTTTAATCCTGAAAAGCTCTTTTTTTGTGAAAGAATACTGACTCTTAAAACTGGAAAATTTAGTTATTACCATATTGTCTACAGTAACTAGTTTGAAGATTTATATAATACAGAGACTTGGCACAATAACGTTTTCCACATTAGGAAAACAAGTGTCTTATGGAACATTATTGTTAAGCTTTGTAGACATTTTTGGCATGTGCTTGTAGTTTTTAACTGTTGATGCTGTTAGAAAATCACATGGGGAGGCTTTTCACAAATATTCCCAGATCGGAATTTAGTAAGTGGACAACTCTGAAGGAAGGATGCTCTGTTTTAGGTAAGATACTTGTGCCTTTTAAAGATAAAAGGAGCTCTTGGCTACTAACTGAAAGATTGGTGGTTCAAACCCACCCACCAGCTGCTCTAACAGTGCTTAGCCTACTTGGTCACATCAGGATCACCCCCTGTGATGATTACAGCCTTGTAACCCTATTGGGCCTTTATACTATGCCCTATGGGAGTCCTAGAGTGGAACTGTGGTATAAAACACTGGATCTCAAGGTTGGTGGTTCAAATTCACCAACCACTTTCCCGAAAATCCTATACAGGGTTACTGTGAGTTGGAACTGACTCCATGACACTTAACAACTCTATAGGTCATTGTATTAAAGAGGGTGTTAGATTAAAGATACGTTTCTACTGAAGAAATTAGATTCCTAACACTGAGGTAGAAATGTTTCAAATTTTATTTTGAAACAGGCGTTTGGTTTGAGGCTTGGGTCTGAAAAACCATGAGGTCAAGTGAACATTGATGTCAATATTTCTTGTCATATACCTGTGTTTTTTGAAATCATTCTTGTCTGAAGCCCCCAAATTTTGAGTATTAATCTTTATTAATAATATTCCAATGAATGGTTGGTAGAATGCATTGAGTCTAGAGTAGTTCATTTGATCAAACCTTTGAATTTGTAATTTTCATTGTTAAACGTTCTGTTTTTTTCTTGTAGGAATAGTTCTTAAACTAAGCTGCCTTCTCGGTCTTCTCCCTCTGCCTCCCATTATAATACAGGCTTTATTTGAAAATCTGTGGTATGTTCTTAATAGGGCTTTTTTTTTTTTTTTTTAATCAGTTAAGAAAAGAAATGGAAGCTAGTTATTGGTGCTATTTGGAAACCATTGACAATTTTACTACCATTAGTATTTTTAACAAATGCCACATATACAGTTTGAAAAAGTGTGTGTAAAAATTAAAATAAAAAGATAATTGCAATTTTTCAATTGACTTTTTCAAGTACCCTCGTATACTTTTGTGTATATGGTGAAAATACACATAATGCAGTATGTATTCTTTTTGGGAAATTTGTAAAGAACTTTATGTAAGATGGAATGTGAACTAAGTCCAAAAGAGTAGTTTTTGTGTTGGTAATACCAGAACTGTTTGAAGCACTTGTATTAACTTAACCTAATAGCAACAACTCTAGGAAGTAGTTGCATGGCTACTAAGTGGTAAAACAGAAGTTTTAGTCTGCTTGAGTTCACGCTCTACTTCTTGGTCTGCAGCCATTTTGAATCATTTCAATGCCTGTTTTATAAGGTGTGATTTTAGTTCTTGCTTCCTGAAATAAGCTTTTCTTTTCCTGACTTAAATAATTGGGATTTAGCCTTGCTGTTGTTGTTAAGTGCCACTGAGTTGGTTTCAACCCATAACGACCCTGTATAGGGTTCCTGAGGAGTGGCTGGTGAGCTTGAACCTCCAACCTTGTGATTCAAACAGACTTTGCAGTCTAGCGCATTAACCCACAGCATCACAGCAGCATGCTTTCAAGCACTGTTAAGGGGCATCTTAAACGGAACAAAATACATTTCCCCAAACAATCCTGTGTAGACTGTTGAGTTTGTTTCAGGTTCCACATGTATTTTAAGGTTCTTAAAACTTCTCAGAAACCCTGTACAGGGTCTCTATGGGTTGGAACTGACTTACCAAAGCTTTTATGTAGCCAACTAACTTGTACTGTGTAGGACAAACTGATCGTGTAATAATCGTCAAATTTAATTTGAATAATGGTGACTTATGGCTAATGCACTAGATTGTAAAGTCGCTTTGGAACCGTAATGTCAGTGGTTCAAGCTCACCAGCTGTTGGTTGGAAACCCTGTACAGGGTCATTATGAGTTGGAACCTACTTAGTGGCAGTTAACAATTGTGACATTGGATATTTTTTTCTTATGTTTATGTGAAATCCAGTTCATATAATATGAAGTTGAATACTTGATTTACAGTAGGAAAAAGCTACTTGTATTTCTAAATTGGTTTGTCAAGTTTTAATACATTAAATAATAGACTCATATCTATTCTTACTCAAGATATTTTCAATTCTTGAAGAGTCTCCAGAACATTTCACTATAGTGATCCCATTCTATTAAAGAAGAAATTAGATTCCTAACACTGAATTAGAAATGCTTCAAATTAAATTCTGAACTCAAACCCAAGTTTGGCTTTTGCATTCTTTTGTTTCATAGTAATTTTCTTCTATCCATTAGTGTGTATATAATTAATAAATCAGGTTTACATATCAGAACGGTTCGATTATTTATTTATTTTTTTTAACAACAGCAACATGTTCATGAGGCCTTACCTGACTTACTGAATCATTGTTTCTGGGAACAAACTTTATTGTGAGATGTTCCCTAGATGATTTTGAAGCCCATCCCTCTGGATAAAAACCACAATTACAGAGCATAGTCATTTGATCAATACTTGTTAAAAAGTCCTATTCTTCGGCACAGTAGTATAGTCCCAGAGGATAAAAACAAAGATTCTGTCATTACCCTAAGGAGAGTATCTGCTGCCGGTAGAGGAAATGAAACATGCCATTGAGTTTAAATGCCATTGAGTCAATTCTGACTTATAGTGACCCTGTATGGGGTTTCTGAGGA